TAAAAGAGCAGCAGATGCTTTAGTGAGTGTGCTGTGTGGGGGAGATAGAGAAGGGACTTAAGCAAATCTCAACAGCAAACAACTAAAAACACATTTGATACTTCTGTTCTCTTCAAAGCCTCTTCCATTTCACGCAGTGGCTCATCTCTTTGCCTGTTCTTTTCCTTCCCTCTGCCCTGCAGCCCCTTCCTAACTTTCCTGTAAGTTTTTTTTTTTTTTTTTTTTTGAGACGGAGTTTCGCTCGTGTCACCCAGGCTGGAGTGCAATGGCACAATCTCGGCTCACTGCAACCTCCTCCTCCTGGATTCAAGTGATTCTCCTGACTCAGCCTCCTATGTAGCTGGGAGTAGAGGTGCGTGCCACCATGCTCAGCTAATTTTTGTATTTTCAGTAGAGATGGAGTTTCATCATGTTGGCCAGGCTGATCTTGAACTCCTGACCTCAGGTGATCCACCTGCCTTGGCCTACCAAAGTGCTGGGATTACAGGCGTGAGCCACCCTCACACCCAACCCTTTCCTGTAATTTAAAAATTCTTTACATTTTCATTTTGCAGAGCAATTTAATTGTGACCGTATTCATAGTCAAGTTTACATACTCAAACCCACTGAAATGATCACAAAGTAAAAGACCCTAAGGTCTTGGGACATCCCGAGAAAGCAGATCAGCCTTTTAATTTATTGCTTGGAATCTCATTCCTCAACTCATCTGGCTAATCAGTGGGTTTCTTCCTGGTAAATACAGGACTGTCCCTAAGAGGAAGTCTTATTCCAGCTGCTAAGGAAGAAAAATTTCCTCTGTCTCATTACACCAGAAACTGGAAAGCAAAACTAGTCATTAGAATGTTGTTCAGTTTTCAGGGAATCAGTGAAAGGAGTCTCAGGGAGACACCAGGCTAAGCAAAGGGCAAGCTTGGCGCTTGCGCCCTGGGCTTGAGTGTATCATTCTAATGACGGTGTGACTGTGGCCAGGTTCATGGATCGGTAAACCCTAATCATTGCTTCCTTCCCAGCTTGCCTTCTGGGCTCCATCTAGACGTTCCTCTCTCCACTTGATCTGTCATTATAACACTTTGTGACTTCAGCACTTTCCCAGTAGAGTGTGTGTACGTATTTATTGATTTCATTTTGTATGATAATTAGTTGCTTCCAAAGTCACCTTCATCTCAGGAGTTGGAGCTTGCCACGTCTCTCTTGTAGGGTGCACTTGTAGGGGAGGAAAGATTTCTTTTTCTCACCCATTGCTAGGTCCATGAGTGAGGCCCTTATAATATAAAAGTCAGATTCACAGGAGAAAAGCAAATAAATTTATTTAATGTAAGTATTACATGCCTGGGTGATGTGGCTCATGCCTGAAATCCCAGCATTTTGGGAGGCTGAGGTGGAAGGATCAGTTGAGCCCAGAAGCTCAATTCCATCCTGGGCAACATAGTGAGACCCTGTCTCTATTTAAAAAAAATAAGGCCAGGGGCAGTGGCTCATGCCTGTAATCCCAGCATTTTGGGTGGCCGAGGTGGGCGGATCATGAGGTTAGTAGTTCAAGACCAGCTTGGTTAATGTGGTGAAACCCCGTCTCTACTAAAAATGCAAAAATGAGCTGGGCGTGGTGGTGTGCACCTGTAGTCTCAGCTACTTGGGAGGCTGAGACAGAAGAATCACTTGAACCGGGGAGGTGGAGGTTGCAGTGAGCCAAGATTGCGCCACTGCACTCCATCCTGGGTGACAGAGTGAGACTCCTCAAAAAAAAAAAAAAAGTTTACATGACACAGGTACCTCAGAAATGAAGACTCAAAGAAACAGGTAATCTTGTATATTTTTATGCTTAGATTTGATGAAGTAGATGGTCTTGGAGAAATATGATTGGACAGAGGGGTAATAAATTGGTGGAAACTTGGCCAGTCCTGTTAGTTAGATTTTTTTCTATGTCCTTGTGTTTTCAGAGATAAGGATGTTCCTGTCCTCAGGAGACAGCAGGGGCACCTCTTGAATGAGGGGCTTATGACCTGCCTCAGGGGAGAAGGGCAGTGGGGATAAGGTGAGAGTGACCTTCCTCCTTCTGCAATTTTCTCAAATGTCAAGGTGCCATACTTTGGGGTAGCCTGTCCTGAACCCCACCACACTCTTCAGAAAGCATCCTTGGTTATTGCCAGTCTGCTCCTAGACTCATCATAGCTGTTAGAACTGCGAGAAACCTTCACACCATTGGTCCTCCTTTTACTGAGGCTCAGGACAATCAAACGCTTCTGTGTCTAGTTGCTGTGTTTCAGCAACTCGACAGCCTTTCTCGCTGCCTATCAGCATAGTTTGTGGTTGTTCTTTTCTCTGTGGCTCTTCGATTAGGCCATCAGCTCCTTGAAAAGTAGAACTGTATCTTTTCTAAGATATGGTTAGGTTCCCAGTGGGCACCCAACGTATGTTGTTTATCCATTTTCACAGACCATGTTAGAGCCTACTATATTAGAGTATGTTCTGTATATATGTACCAGTGCTGAAGATGTGGAAGATGAAAAAGACATACTATCTTCTTTTAAGAAGCTCATCGTCCATGAGGGCAACTATAATAGATGTACAGAGACAATACATATAAGTACAGAAGAAGGAGAGAAAAATTTCATCAAGGGGTTCAGGAAACTTTTTTTTGGAGACGGAGTCTTGCTCTGTCACCCAGGCTGGAATGCAGTGGCACAATCTCACCTCACTGCAACCTCTGGTTCCCAGGTTCAAGTGATTCTCCTGCCTCAGCCTCCTGAGTAGCTGGGATTGCAGGCACCCACCACCACACCTGGCTAATTTTTGTATTTTTAGTAGAGAAGGGGTTGCTCTCTCTCTCTCTTTCTTTCTTTTTTGAGATGGAGTTTCATTCTTATTGCCCAGGCTGGAGTACAATGGTGCCATCTTAGCTCACTGCAACCTCCACCTACCGGGTTCAAGCGATTATCCTGCCTCAGCCTCCCAAGTAGCTGGGATTACAGGCATGCGCCACCATGCCTGGCTGATTCTGTATTTTTAGTAGAGACAGGGTTTCTCTATGTTTGTCTGGCTGGTCTCGAACTCCCGACCTCAGGTGAACCCCCTCACCTCCGCCTCCCAAGGTGCTGGGTGCTGGGATTACAAGTGTGAGCCATGAAGTGTGGCCAAGATGGGGTTTCACCATATTGGTCAGGTTGGTCTTGATCTTCTGACCTCAGGTGATTTACCTGCCTCAGCCTCCCAAAGTGCTGGGATTACAGGCATGAGCCACCGTGCCTGTCCAGGACTCAGAAAACTCTATGAAGGTAGAACTAGAGGTGGGCCTTATGAAGGAATTTCACCAGAGTAGTAGGACAAGGAGGGACCTATTAATAGCAGCTTGAACAAACCCTTAGAGGCAGGAGAGCACAAAGGTTGGCTGAGGAATGGCCAAAGCTCCTGTGGCTGACACGCATGGGTTGCAGATGGGATATCTGAGGCTGAAAAAGGAAGACAAATGTACAGGGCTTTGAGTGTGAGCCTTTGAATGTGCATGCAACAGTGCAGTAGTGCACTCCTCTACCATCTATTTGAGATAGAACCTGGACAAGAACAGACATTTCATAAGTATATGTAGAAGTTAATAATAAATATGCTCCAGGTCTACTGACTGTGGTATCCAGAGGCAGTATATTATGTAACAGCATGGACTTTGGAGCCAGAATGGCCACATTTAGAGCTTAGCTTTGCCAGTTACAAGCTATGCAACCTGGAAAAGGTTTTTAACCTCTTTGAACCTCAGCCTTCATTTCTGTGAAATGTGGCTGATAATAGTACCTACCTTATAGGCTTGTTATGATTAAATTAACTGAGTTAGTATATGTGAGGCACTAACAATTTGCAATAGAAACTGGTTCATAGTATTATATTTCTTTTCTTTTCTTTTTTGAGGCAGGGTCTTACTCTATTGCCCAGACTGCAGTGCAGTGGCAGAATCATAGCTCACTGTAGCCTCAGACTCCCTGTCTTAGGTGATCCTCCCACATCAGCCTCCCCAGTGCTTGAGACTACAGGCAAGTACCACTCATTTTTTTTGGTGGCACGCTCCTGTAGAGACAGGGTTTTGCCATGTTGCTCAGACCGATCTTGAACTCCCAAACTCAAGCAATCCACCCACTCAGCTTCCCCAAGTGCTGAGATTATATGTGTGAGCCACTGTACCTGGCCTTATATTTCTTATTTGTTTATATTATTACAATAATTATTGCTGAAATAATTGTATTTTACTATCACAATAGGAAAAAGTCTTGTCTTCTCAAACATGTCTCCTATACTGCCTTACTGTCTGAAATTCTGTTAGGGCATCTTTAAAAATTCACAGCTCTTTATTAAAATACATATGTAATTAGGAAGCCAACTGTAGGATATTGGTCAATAATTCTTTAGCAAGAATTCAGTTGCTCCTAATAGAGTCCAGAGGAAATGGGCTATATAATGATAAGTCAAAAGAATTAATATGGCCAGGTGTAGTGGCTCACGCCTGTAATCCCAGCACTTTGGGAGGCTGAGGCAGGAGGATCACCTGAGGTTGGGAGATTGAGACCAGCCTGACCAACATGGAGACACCCCATTTCTACTAAAAATACAAAATTAACTGGGCACGGTGGTGCATGCCTGTAATCCCAACTACTTAGGAGGCTGAGGCAAGAGAGTTGCTTGAACCCAGGAGGTGGAGGTTGCAGTGAGCCGAGATCGCGCCATTGCACTTCAGCCTGGGCAACAAGAGTGAAACTCCAACTCAAAAAAAAAAAAAAAAAAAAAAAAAAAAAATTAGTACAGCTAAATACACCACTTATCTGGAACAGGGTACTTATGCCCAGACCCTAGCAATGTTTTGTAAACCTTATATTCTGGCGAAGGCACTTCCACAAGTGTTTTATAATGTTTCATTTAAAAATAATAACTGTGAAAAAATGTGCCGAAAAATGATATATACACAATTACAAATATTAAAAACATTGAAAATTACCAAAAGGTTATTATTTGCTATTGATTAATACATTTTTACGCAGGCCTTGTAATACAGCGTCTTCTGTATCCTCTGTTTAATAGAAGAATAATTATCTTGAGATTGTAAGGTGACCTGGGAAGCATTTGCAAATGATGTTTCCAATCTTCGTTAATCCAGAATTTCTGGAGGTCCTGTAACTAAAACTGCAGACAGAAATAGATTGGACAATAAGGTTGCTAAAAGAGTGCTGCTGTCTTCCATAACCCTCCACTGACACATTTTATTTTCACTAAAACACCATTGCTCTTATTGACTTTATATTAAGTAACATTATGTTTCTTAAACAGATTTCTATTAATTCAATATCACTTTTGACCGGAGGCAGTGGCTCACACCTGTAATCCCAGCACTTTGGGATGCTGAGATGGGTGGATCACAAGGCCAGGAGTTCAAGACCAGCCTGGCCAATATGGTGAAATCCCATCTGTACTAAAAATACAAAAATTAGCCAGGTGTGGTCGCATGCGCCTATAGTCCCAGCTACTTGGATGGCTGAGGCAGGAAAATCACTTGAACCCAGGAGGTGGAGGTTGCAGTGAGCTGAGATGGGGCCACTGCACTCCAGCCTGGGCAACAAGAGTGAAACTCTGTCTCAAAAAAGAAACAAATAAAATAAATATCACCTTTATCACTTTCATGTGATAAAATTCTCTAAATGATGATTTCAAAAAGGCCTTTGCTGCTAAAAAGTTTTAAAACTCATCAATCTGGAAAGTAGCTTTGAACTTGGAGATGGCATAAATGAGAGACGGAAAGTATCTGATGGGGCTTGTATAATTGCTTATCAGAGAGACATGGTGCTGCTCTCAAGCCCAAGGACTTTGGCCGCGTGAGTGCAGTAAGCTGGTGTGACTCAGAGGTTGAGTCTCTTTTGTATCTCTGAATTTAACATTCGTGGTTTTAATTATTCCCCCAAAATTCTCGAAAGACAGTGACATAGAACATGTTATTTTACTGAGGCATACATTTAATAATAATTCTGCACAAATGCATGAATCAGAAGAACAATACAACATTCCAAGATAAAAATCAAGGCATGAACTTGAATCATACTTGCCACCAGGATAAGGGTGGGATGTGGGAGCAAAAAGTCACCCTAATGAGGGTGCCCAGCAGATGGATCACCCAGCTTTCATCAGCCTCTCAATTCTGCTTTATTCTCTACTGGCCTTGCCTGCACTGTAACTCTTTTGTTTTGTGATAGAAACTCAAATTCTTTGTGAAAAATGGCCCTGGAGCTCCTTGTAGAAATGACTGATTCTATGGCCGGGGCAGGAAGTGTACAAGATGAGATGGAGCATATTGTATTGCCTGCAAGTAAGGCAGTGTTCAACAAAACAGAACAAAAAAACCCCCAAAACCAAAAACTCCCTGGGTCCCCACGATATTGGGGGTATGTCAAAGGGACACGGGGGCTAACTGAAAGAGCTTCCAGTGATAAAAGCCAAAACAATTTGAGATGCAAAATAAATAAAGCAATATCGAATCACAATCCAACATCTAAACTAAATATCCATGAGTCCATATGGACATAAGTTAATAAATGGGGAAGAAGGGCCACATCTCCTGTGCAGAAAAAGTCCACATAATTTATATACGTACCCTGCCCTCAATGAGGGGGAGCTTAATTCCCCACTCCTTCAGTGTGACCAGCTCATAGTATGACTTCTTTCCAAAGAGGACAGTTACAGAAAGGCAGAAAAAGACTAACTTTGGAAAAATCTGTCAAGTGTAACTTTAGCTAGGTGTTCAGAATCAGCATCAGCAGTGAGGTATCAGGCTGATCGTTTGTGTCCTTAATATGATACAATTAAAATGGCACTTTACCTCTGGGATCTTCCTCCCTCAAACTCATAACCCTAGTCTAATTATGAGAAAAAGAGAAAATTCCTGTAGGGGCACATCTTACATAATACCTGACCAGTATTCTACAAAAATGCCAATGTCATCAGAAACAAGGAAGATCTGATATATTTTCACAGCCAAGAAGAGCCCAAGGAGATATAGCATTTAAATGTAATGTGGTTGCTAGGCATGGTAGTTCACGCCTGTAATCCCAGCATGTTGGGAGGCTGAGGTAGGAAGATTGCTGGTGTCCAGCAGTTTGAGACCAGCCTGGGCAATATGGCAAAACCCTGTCTCTACTAAAAATGCAGAAATGAGCTGGGTGTGGTGGCATGTGCCTGTGGTCCCAACTACTCAGGAGACTGAGGTGGGAGGATTGCTTGAGCCTGGGAGGTTGAGGCTGCAGTGAGTTGTGATTGCACTAATGCACTCCAGCCTGAGTAACAGACTGAGACCCTGCCTCCCTCCCTGCCTCAAATGTGTGTGTGTGTGTGTGTAAAACATGATTTCCTAGGTGGGATTCTGGAATAGAAAAAGGACATAAAGGACATTTGGTAAAAACTAAGGAAATCTAAATAAAGCATGGACTTTAGTTAATAATAATGTATCATTATTGGCCCATTAGTTGTAATGAAACCATACTAATGCAAGATGTTAATGGTAGGGGAAACTGAGTGTGTGGTGAGTGTGGGGGTTACATGAAATTGTCCTTACTGTGCTCTCAATTTTTTAAATAAATAAAACTGTCCTAAAAGATAAAGTCTAATGAAATTAGATTTATGATCTGTGAAATTAGTAGAAGAAAACGTAGGTGAAATGTTTTAGGACATTGGTCTGGGCAAAGAAGACTTCCAAAGCACAGACAACAATCCAGGTGAATTCTTGAAGCTAAAAACCAAAAGAGAATAAAACAAAGGGGAAAAGCACAAATAACAAAAGCAAAAAATAGACAAATGGATTCTATCAAATGAAAAGCTTCTGCACAGCAATGGAAACAATCAACAGAGTGAAGAGACAATCTGTAGAATGGGAGAAAATATTTGCAAAGTATTCATCTGACAAGGGATTAATAGCCAGTTTATACAAAGAACTCAACAACAAAAAAGCCATCTGATTTAAAAAAATGGGCAAATGAATTCAATAGACATCTCTCAAAAGAAGACATGCAGACAGTCAACAGGTATATGAAAAAATGCTCAACATTACTTATTGTTAAGGAAATGCAAATCAAAACTATAATGAGATATCATCTAATCGCCATGAGAATGGCCATGTAATCCCAGCTGTTTGGGAGGCCAAGACAGGTGGATTGTGATGTCAAGAGATTGAGACCATCCTGGACAAGATGGTGAAACCCCATCTCTACTAAAAATACAAACATTACCTGGGTGTGGTGGCATGTACGTGTAGTCCCAGTTACTTGGGAGGCTGAGGCAGGAGAATTGCTTGAACCCAGGAGGCGGAGGTTGTGGTGAGCCACCGCACTCCAGCCTAGCGACAGAGTGGGACTCCATCTAAAAAAAAGAAAAAATGCTAGCAAGGACACATAGAAAAAGGAACTCTTTATTCCCACTACTAGTGGGAATGCAAGTTAGTAAAGCCATTATTGGAAACAATATGGAGATTCCTCAAAAATTCCAAAATAGAACTACCATATAACTAGCAATTACACTCTTGGGGGTACATCCAAAGGAAAGGAAATCAGGGTGTCAGACAGTCATCTGCACTCCCATGTTTACTGCTGCACTATTGTCAATAGTCAAGATATGGAATCAACCTAAGTGTCCACCAGATGAATGGATAAAGAATATGTGCTATAGTATACAGTGGAATACTACTTAGCTGCAAAAAGAAGAAAGTTCTGTCATTCTGGCAACATGAATGAGCTTGGAGGACATTATGGTAAGTGAAATAAACCAGGCACAGAAAGATAAAGACCGTATGTTGTCACTCATGTGGGAGCTAAAAGAGTGGATCACATGGAAATAGAGTAGAATAAAGGTTACTAGAGGCGGGGAAGGGTGAGGAGAAAGAGAGTAGTCAGAGGTTGGTTAATGGATATAAAATTACAGCTGGACAGGAAAAATAAGTTCTAGTGTCCTATAGCACTATAGAGTGACTATAATTAGCAATAATTTATTTTATGTTTTCAAATACTTAAAAAAAACAGACTCTTAAAAAATTAAAATTAAAATTAAATTTTTTTTTTGAGATGGAGTTTCGCTCTTGTCACCCAGGCTGGAGTGTGATGGCGTGATCTCAGCTCACTGCAACCTCTACCTCCCGGGTTCAAGTGATTCTCCTGCCTCAGCCTCCTGAGTAGCTGGGATTATAGGGCCCACCACCATGCCCAACTAATTTTTGTATTTTTAATATAAATTTTCACCACATTGGCCAGGCTGTTCTTGAATTCCTGACCTCAGGTGATCCACCTGCCTTGGCCTCCCAAAATGCTGAAATTACAGGTGTGAGCCACCACGAAGAGCAGATTTTTGAATGTTCCCAACACAAAGAGATAATAAATCTTTGAGGTGACGGATATACTAATTACTGTCATACAATCATTACCCATTGTATATAATTTTTGAAATATCACATTGTACTCTATAAATATATATGATTATCATGTTAATATCACATTATACTCCATAAATATGTACAATTGTCACATCAATATTTAAAAATAACAGATAAAGTCTAAGTCGGGCGTGGTGGCTCACACCTATAATCCCAGCACTTTGGGAGGCCGAGGCGGGTGGATCACGAGGTCAAGAGATTGAGACCATCCTGGTCAACAAGATGAAACCCCATCTATGCTAAAAATACAAAAATTAGCTGGGCATGGTGGTGCGCGCCTGTAGTCCCAGCTACTTGGGAGGCTGAGGCAGGAGAATTGCTTGAAACCAGGAGGCGGATGTTGCTTTGAGCTGAGATCGTGCCATTGCACTCCAGTCTGAGTAACAACAGTGAAACTCCATCTTAAAAAAAAAAAAAAAAAAAGATAAAAGTCTATTAATTAATTTAAAAAGAAAAGTAAAAAAAAAAAAAAGGCCCTAGAAAAAAATGCAACCACTAGTGCTACCAGTGCTGAGGAGATCGATGAGTCTCGTACTTAGCCAGGCAGGAGTTTCATGGGAGAAACTGAGTATGAAGATTTATGAAGACCTGGGGATGCATCTCTTTTGAATGTCAAAGTTTACTCTTTTTTTGTGAGATGGAGTCTTGCTCTGTCACCCAGGCTGGAGAGTAGTGATGTGATCTCGGCTCACTGCAACCTCTGCCTCCCAGGTTCCAGCCATTCTCCTGCCTCAGCCTCCCAAGCAGCTGGGACTACAGGTGTACACCACCAAGCTCAGCTAATTTTTTTTTGTATTTTTAGTGAGACAGGATTTTACCACGTTGGCCAGACTGGTCTTGAACTCCTGACCTCAGATGATCCACCCACCTTGGCCTCTCAAAGTTCTGGGATTACTTACAGGTGTGAGCCACTGTGCCAGGCCCGAACTTTACTCTTTATAGTAAAGTTCAGTAACTTTGACATTCGTGAGTTAATACATACTAGTATCTTACTAATTTTCATCATGAGTAGTGGCTTTTTCTGGGTGTGTTTTCTTTCTGATTTGTCACGTCAGGAGAAGGAAGGATTTTTTCTCTACCCTCTTAGGTTCTGTGATGGAGACCTGTGAATTAAATTGACAAAAGACAGATAAGCAAGAAAACTGTGACTCAAAGAGGCTGTTAGAATTTCGGGTTTACATAGCATCCTAATAGAAGAAAGGGTGTGGGAGACTGGGCACTTAGGGAAGAGCAAAGGACTTTCAGGAAAGGTAAGTAGGCCCTTAGGAGAATAGTTGAGAGATACTTTTGTGACAATGTCTATTCAGTTGATTTCTTATCCTGGTGCTGGGCTTCTCTCTGGCGATAAGAGTCAATCTTTACTGATTGTGAAATTCCTGGAGAGGAGATTTATTACAGATGAATTCTTTTTTTTTTTTTTTTTTTAATTTGAGATGGAGTTTCCCTCTTGTTGCTCAGGCTGGAGTGCAGTGGCATGATCTCAGCTCACTGCAACCTCCGCCTCCGGGGTTCAAGTGAGTCTCCTGCCTCAGCCTCCAGAATAGCTGGGATTACAGGTGCCTGTCACCACGCCCAGATACTTTTCTTTTTTTGGTATTTTTAGTATAGAGGTTTCACCATGTTGGTTGGCTGGTCTCAAATTCCTGACCTCAGGTGATCCACCTGCCTCTGGCTCCCAGAGTGTTGGGATTACAGGCGTGAGCCACCAGGCCTGGCCGATGAATTCTTTTGGGAGGCTCTGCTTTTAGTCAGAGAAGGGGCATTTAAAAAAAATAAAATTAAACAAAAAGACTTTTCACAGGGAGCCTTCAGTGGAATGCTGGGTCTCCCAGTGTCACCAACACAGCCTGTGTTTACTATGGTCAGGGAGATGCCACTTAGACACAGCCCTGACGGTGTCTTCAGCGGGGGTGGCACGGTAGAAACAGAGAAGCGGAAATTTCATTTAAGGTGTGCCTTTGCCATGTGGAGGCTTGATTGGGATTGGGCGAGGATCATGATATCACTGTCCAGGATTGGTGGAAACTGTGAGGTGAGGATTCTGAGGTGAGGGGCTCAGACATGTTAGGGCGCACAGTTTTCTGTTTTCCATGGAAGAGTTAATGAGTCTTGGGGAAGTTCCTGTCCTGGACAATCACGACAGTTACCACTAGAGTCTGCAGGAATGGGAAAATAGTGCTAGCGAAGGCGATGAAACAGTCAAGTCATGTTAATGTGAGTTGGGGGTTTGTCAGAGGTGTGGTGGGGTCATTTCAGTCCTCACCATCCAAAGCTAAATGCTTAGAGAACTTTGGTTCTCGGATTTCTATGCAAGACTAAAAGAAAAAAAGATCAATATACGGTACACAAAAATGGATCCCTGCTCGCCACACTGCTGCGACTTTCTCTTTTACCTTAATCATCCATCATGGCTGCCCTTCCGTGTCCTATAGCCAGACTGAGGTCATTCCTTTTAATGGGAGAATCATTGCAAAACTCCAACATCCAAGCTGCTTTGTGGCTGGTGGCCCTATCTTCTGATTGCTTAGTGGGGATGGAACTGGCAAGGGGACAGGTTCTTAGGCCATCACTTCCACTGTCTTATTTTTACTTTAAAGCAAAACAAATAACCCTCTCCCAGATTCTTACGGCAATTTTCTCAAGGGAAGGAAAGGTCAATCTATCCAAATCTCCCCTGTCAGTCTGCACTTGGCTTTGGGGAGAGCAGCTCCCTCACTGCTTTGTCCCTATGAAGCTGGCTGGGTCCCCTCTGCAGGTTTGGGAGCACAGGATGAGAGTGTCAGAGGGTTTAGAGACTCAGAAGTTCAAGGTTACTTGGCCAATACCGTAAAAGTCATCAGCCTGGCTTAAGAGTCATTGGAGGAATATGGTTTTGAAGACACACTCCCTCCTAAGGAATCACTGCCTAGGGGTTGAAATCCTCCCTGCTATGCAAGGCAGTTTCTGAGCAGTATTTTTATCTATTTTTTTTTTAAATATACATGGAGTATCCTTTCCTTATGACTGCTCTCTAGTCACCCCAATGTGTGTGTTCTGCAGCCTGGGTGTAATTCTCCCTTCCTTCCTGCCAAGGGAGCCTGGGATGTGCCCAGAGTTTTCTGGAAAGTTCAAGACAGACCTTTTTGGCTGGGCATGGTGGCTCACACCTGTAATCTCAGCACTTGGGGAGGCCGAGACGGGCAGATCACCTGAGGTCAGGGGTTCAAGACCAGCCTGGCCAACATGGCGAAACCCCATCTCTAATAAAAATACAAAAATTAGTCGGGCATGGTGGTGGGCACAGGCAGTCTCAGCTACTTGGGAGGCTGAGGCAGCAGAATCGCTTGAACCCGGGAGGCGGAGGTTGCATTGAGCCAAGATGGAGCCACTGCACTCCAGCCTGGGTGACACAGCGAGACTCAGTCTCAAAAAAACTAAAACAAAACAAAACAAAACAAAACAAAACAAAACAAAAACCCAACAGACCTTTTAAGTCCAGCCACCAGGCCCCATTGCTTTTCCTAAATTGCCTTAGAACACCAAGCCCTCTGGCCTCCCCACCCTCAGCCCTGTTCTTCCCTCCCCTTAGCCCTTGTCACCCTTAAACCTTTTTCCACTCGTTCTTTCTTTCTTTCTTAAAAACAGGAACACAGTATCTCTCTCCAAAGCAGGCATTGCATGGCCAGTAGCAGCAGCCATTACAAAGAGAACAAGTAATTTCTTAGTCTTTCGGCACTGCAGTGCCTCTGGTTTTTTGTGAGTGGCCAGTGCACCTGTTGTGATAAGCAGTACTCCCTTCTCAAGCAATTTGAAAAGAGGGCAAGCCCTGCACCCCACTCCCGCCCCCTTTCTTTTAAGTGGATGTTAATGATTTAACGGGGGTGGGGAGAGAAGACCCGTTTGCTGATGGATCCTTTAGCTGACACTCTCAGGGCTCACTGAGGCTGCTAAGAGGGGAGAGTGCGGCCCTTGCTGGCTTCCTCAGGGGCTCTGCTGGGCCAGGCTCAGTGAGACAGGCTAGATGGAAGTTGGCTTCCGTTTGGGTACTGAGGCTTTCCTTTCCTTGTTCTCTGTGGGCTGTTTTGATTTATTTGTTCCTTGGTTCTCTGAGCTTCTTTGTTTGACCCTGGCTGGTAAGGAGCCTGGAGGCTTTGGTGAAAAGAAGCTTCTCCCAGCAAAACCAATTTTGGCATAAGGAGAATAAAAGGCTTCCATTTTTCCTAGGGTGGGTGGGTGGGAGGCATGCATGTGGCCTCTTCTGTTTTTTTCTTTTCTTTTCTTTTTTTCTTTTCTAAAGTCTGTTAATCTCAAGCTGGCAAAATGTGTTAGGCTGACAGGCTGGAGAGTGGAAATTCTCTGTTTGGCCCCAGACAAGTGGCCCTGTTCCCTGTCATGGATAACGCCATGTCTCAGGGGAAGAGGGGTCCAACATTCTGCGCATGGAGCTGCGGCGGAGCCACCTACACCCTCCCCTGCTTTGGTCTAGCTAAGACGGGGGCCCTCTCTGTGAGCCTGAAGTTTCTCTAGGGTGCTGTGGCTGGCAGGTCTCCCGTGTGGAGCGCCTGGGAAGTGTGTGTGTGTGAGGCCTGGAAGGGGCAGGCCTGGCCTGAGAGGGGACTAGGGCATGGCACCCCTGATGTGCCACTTTGGCAGAAGAATTGAGCTGGAGGGATTGAAAGAAAAAAAATCGTTAGGTCGAGTGTGGTGGCTCACATCTGTAATCCCAGCACTTTGAGAGGCTGAGGCAGAAAGACAGCTTGAGGCCAGGCATTTGAGACCAGCTTGGGCAACATAGTGAGACCCTGTCTCTATTTAAAAAAAAATTAAAATGAATTGTTCTTTTAATTTTTCTTTTAACAGTTGGGGCTTGCTATGTTGCCTAGGCTAGTCTTGAATTTCTGGCCTCAAATGATCCTCTTGCCTCAACTTCCCAAAGTGCTGGGATTACAGGTATCAGCCACCGTGCCCGGCCAGTAGACCCCAAATTCTAACCCCCCCTGTGAGTTACCCCTCACTGGATGCTCTCATGTGTGAGAAAGATGCGCAGACTCACAAACTCCTGTTGGTTTTTCTCTCGCGAATCTGTCTTTTATCAGCTTAGTTTACAGGACACCAGTCAATAACCTAGGAGGGTAGAGGTAAAAAGGTTTTCTTACCCTACACCCGTGTACTTATCAAAACTTCTCTGTGGCTTGGGAAGGCTTTGAGAACACCAGACAGTAGACAGCACAGCTCTGGCTCCCAGTAGTCTGCCAGAAACATTTGGTGAGGCTGGGCGCAGTGGCTCATGCCTGTAATTCCAGCCAAGGCAGATGGATCACCTGAGTTCGAGACCAGCCTGGCCAACATAGTGAAACATGTCTGTACTTAAAATACAAAAATTAGTTGGATATAGTGGCAGGCACCTGTAGTCCCAGCTACTCAGTAGGCTGAGGCAAGATAATTGCTTGAACCTGGGAGGTGGAGGTTGCAGTGAGCCAAGATCACGCCACTGCTCTCCAGCCTAGGTGACAGAGTGAGACTCTGTCTCATAAAAAATCCCAAAACCAAAAAACAACCCCAGAATATTTGGGTGAATAAATAACAGAATATTTTACTCAGAGTTATGCATTTAAATGCAAGTGGTCCTAACCAATTTGTGTATTAGACTCAGGGCTTTCGCTGAGATCTGTAGAGTGGGCGATGGGGTTTTGGAGGAGTGGAAAGGGCATTTTGGAGGGAGGGGTTGAGTCTCCGTGTGCAGGTCTTGCATTGTTGATTTAAGATGGGGTGTGGGGCCAGGTTTTATGCCTATTTAATGTATTAGTAATTCGTCAGGCACACCTAACTTTGTGATTCTAGGTGTGTCTCTTCTAACCCACTTACTGGGCCAACCAGGGGCCAATCAGGCCTTTTTCTTATCTGGTATTGGCACCAGGGAATTGTAAGGCTTTAAAGCCAAGTGCTAAGTTTCCAGGGTTTGGGCCACTGGGCTACCTCTGAGAGGCTGTAATTTGAATCTTATTCCTGATCTGCCATTCCCAGAAGGTAAACTTTCCTCATCTTCTGCTGATTTTTCCTTATCTTTTCATCCCGTTCAACTGCCCGCCAGTGCCAGCTCCTAGATAATGCCTGCTTTCAGATG